CTCCTGCCCATTCTGTACAAATGCTACTCAATCTCTTCTTGAAAACCTCCAGTAATGGAGTATCTACAACTTCCAGAGGTAAGTCGTTCTTCTGATTGTTCTCACTGTCAGGAAATTTCTCCTTAGATCTAGGTTAGCTCTCTCTTTAATCATCTTCCTCTGTTACTTTCTTGACTTGCTTTGGAGAATAGGTCAGCTCCTCTCTTTTCTGTGCAAACCCTCAAATACTGGAAGATTGCTACCCCTAGTTCTTCTCTTTGTTAGACTACACCAGGGGTAGGCAACCTCGGCTCTTTTATGACTCATGGACTTCAACTCCCAGAATTCGTGAGTCAGCTATGCTGACTCACGAATTCTGGGAGTTGAAGTCCATGAGTCATAAAAAAGCCGAGGTTGCCTACCCCTGGACTAGACATACCTAGTTACCTCAATCTTTCATTGTATGGTTTAGCTCTGGGCCCTATATCATCTTTGTTGCTTTTCTCTGCACTCTTTCTAGGGTCTCAACATCTTTTTTGTATCGTGGTGACCAAAACTGGATGCAATGTTCCAAGTGTGGTCTCACCAGTATAATATAAAGCAATACTATCACTTAATATAATCTTGAAACTGTCCCTTTCTTGGTGCAATCTAGGACTTCATTATCTTTTCTGGCATCTGTAGCACACCCTAGAACTTCAGCTGGAGTTAGGCTTTGTATGTTTTCAGCCTATACCAGTTCATTGGTTATAGTGATAGTAGAGATTGTCACGAGGGCTCTATTGGCATCTTTTAGCATCTCCATCTCCAATAAGCTTTGATAATAGGCTTCAAGGATTGACTGTAGCTAGTTTATATATGATCTTATGTTTCATATCAGCTGCTGTGCTCTGTAATGTGGCAGTGATGTTCCAGGTGTTGGCTGTACATCCAGTTGGTCTTCCTGGTCTTGTTGAGTCTGTGATGTAATGTGTAGTTGGTGTTTCTCAAGTTATGAAAGCAGCTTTCTCTTCACTTTGTTGAAGTATTGGGTAACTAACCATTTCTCAGTTAATGAGGATGCAGGTCTTCAGCCCAGCAATAGGCCATTCATATATTTCATATACAGTATCCTTTCTCATTAAGTCTATTGTTATAGTAGCATTCTGTCAAACCAGGTTCTTTTGTCTCATCCATGTATTGTTTTTCTGATAGTCCACTTATTGTCAGATTGTCCTGGTTCCTCAACATATGATGTGGATCTTGCTAATCCAGGTAACATCTGGCATGACTCTACTTGTTTGTGTCATTCTCATATTTGAGGTAGAGAACCCAAGAGGTTTATAGCCCAAGGACTCCTACTGGTCTTCTACATTAGAGTGACACTGTAATTACTATCCTATCCAGTCACTTCTTTTTGTTTTTATATATCTCAAAAGGGAGACAATAGCAAGATCTTTACTAATGATTTTTTTCCTTAATGGACTAGATTTGTATAAGTACAGTTATACAATTATTATTAGTTTGGTATAGTGATTAAGATGGCTTGCCTGGAACCAGGTTAACTGTGAGTTTGACACCTCTCTTAGATATGAAAGCTGGCTGAATCACTTTGTGGCAGTCACTCTGTCTCAACTTGACTTACTAAACAGTGCTGTGGCTGTGGGAAAAATAGGAGACAGGAATATTAGGTACACTTACTGGCTGAAGTGTGTGTGTGTGTAAGAGAGAACGAGAATGAGAATATATTGCAGGCTAACTCTCCCTACTGCCAGGAGTTCAATCTTGACCAGTTCAAGGTTGAGTCAGCCTTCCATCCTTCTTGAGGAGCCAGATTGTTGGGGGCAATATGCTGACTATGTAATAGCAATAACACTTAGACTTATATACCGCTTTATAGCACTCTCTAAGCAATTTACAGAGTCAGCATATTGCCCCCAACAATCTGGGTCCTCATTTTACTGATCTCAAAAGAATGGAAGGCTGAGTCAACCTTGAGCCAATCAGGATTGAACTCCTAGCAGCCAGAAGAATTGGCGTGCAGTACTGCATTCTAACCACTGCGCTACAATGGCTCTGGCTGTAAACTGCTTAAAGAGTCTGAGGGGTCTATGACAACTCACCATAGCCAACCCCCTGCAGCCAACTTGCTGCGAATAATTCACCACGGCCAACTCCCCATGAGACAACTCCTCATGGGAGAAGAGTTACACTAATATCAAAGAAATGATGGAATAAAATCATTAAAGAAAGGATGCCAAAGGAGGGACAAAATGAAATGTGAATGACAAAATTATTTTTTAAAATTATTCCAAATGATTAAATTAAATAGTTGAATTGTGTGATGACCTGGGGCACGGCACTCTCCTCCCGAGTAGTTGGGTCAGCTTGCACTGTTCCCGCCTTCTCTTCACTCCCCATGCTCGAGGATCAGGAGGGGGTGGTCCTTGCTCATCGCCTGAGCTCTGTCTCTCATGTTCACTGCTTAGCTTCTCTTGGTCATCCTGCCCCTGTTCCTTCTGGCCTACAAGCCATCCCAATCCTGAAAGGCCCTGGCCTGTCTCAGCCTGCTCTTCCCATATTCCTCGAAAGCCAACGACCCCTCCCCCTCAATCTCTGTCAGCTCCAGTTCCGGCTCATTCCTCTGCAGATTCAGGCTCCAATGGGGGCATGACAAATTGTCCTTCAGCGAGTTATCCTGTGGCAAGTTATCCATGGCAAATTGGCCACGGTGATTTGGCTGTGGCGAGTTGACCATGGTGATTTGGCCATGGTGAGTTGGCTGCAGCAAGTTCTCCTATTCCGAAGTCTGAGTGCTGTTGTTATGTACACACACACACGCATGCACGCACATACAATGGCATACACACATACAGGTAGTCCTAGATTTATGACCACAATCAAGCCCAACATTTCTATTGCTAAGCGAATTTTGTCCTGTTTTATGGCCTTTCTGCCATAGTTGTCAAGTGATCATTGCATTTGTTTAAGTTCTTAACATGGTTGTGACGTGAATCTGGCTTCCCATTGGCTTTGCTTGTCACAAGATTGCAAATGGTGATGACATGACCTTGGGACACTGCAACCGTCATAAATATGAACCAATTGGTCAAGCATACAAATTTTGATCACTTGCTCATGGGGATGCAGCAGCGGTCATAAGTGTGAAAAACGGATCATAACTCACTTTTTTCAGTGCCGTTATAACTTTGAATGGTTATAAATGAATGGTTGTTAAGTCAAGGACTATACATACACACACACACACACACACACACATGAATATATGTCTGTATGTTAAAATTAAGTAAAATATAAAAGTAAAATGTGAGAAAAATCTAATGATAATATAAAATATCTTTGAGTATGGTGTTTGTGGAACAATTTGATTGGAATAGTGAGCTATCTGCTCTCAGATGTGAATAGAAGAATGTTACAAATGAAGGCAAAGAATGTTAGTTATATTAATTTGCCGGGCATTCTTAATAGAATTTGATATCCTTCAGGATTACCTTACAGTCTTTGAACCAGAAGATCACTCTTTTGGTCTTTTTTGTAATATCCAAAATCTGATTCTGAAGACTAATCGTTAATAGCCGAGCCTTTGATCTGTAGTGTCCCACAGAAGTCTCCTTAGATCCTCGATTAAGAGATCTTTTCAAAATTGGCATCATCAATGTTGTACGTATGTGTGTATCTATTTCTTTTTGTTTTTTATTACCAAGAAAATGATCTATTGATCAATTTGACAATTTACTAAATGATTGAAAAAATAGAAACTGTATTCAGATAAGATAGAAGTGCTTTGATCAGTAAAAAATATGGCTTAGATACTTGAATTCAGACTCCAGATGGTCAGTTTTGTATGTTGTATTTGCTCCTTGTTTTTTTGATATTCATTGATTTTTAGCTGATTATGATAGTAAGGGATGAATATGCAGAATTATTGTACCTTGGATTGGTTGGATTGAGTAACAGCTATGTATAATGTAGTAATATAAAGTTGGGGATGTGGCTATGTTGTCTGTATTAAAAACATGGAAGATCCCTTGATATAAACTGTAGCAGCCACACTGAACCGGTATATGGTATAAAAGTGACATTATACCAATATTTTAAAATTGGATACATTTCAAATATAATTAAACTCTTGGTCAAATTATATGTTTATACATAAATATGTGGTAGTCCTTGAGTTACAATCATAATGGAAGCTGCCAATTATGTACACAAATTGTGACAGCCATTATATGAGGTACCCATGTGATCACCTTACTTAATGACCCCAATCACTGCTCTCCCTGTTACAGTTATTAGCAGAGCCTGAGGTGCCACAGATGTGGAGGAAGCCCTGGGAGACCTAGTGCATGTCTAGGTTTGCACTGAAGAACCTTCAGTTCAGATGCAGCCTCTGCTAGGCCTCCCAGGACTATCTCCACTCCCTGAAGCACCCCATGCTCCCCTTCCTGCATCATTGGAATTATGGCAACTCCCAAAATGGTGTCTACTTCTGGGATAGTGAGTGCAGGCACAACTGCAGAATGGCCATATGGCAAAGTAGCTGCCTCCCAAAGGAAATCTATCCAAAAAGGTAAGTGATCAAGCCATGATGGGGGTGGGGAAGACAGTGTAGAACAAAGGGGAGTGGGAAGCAGGACCAAGGCCTGCAGGACCGGGGAGGGGGGAAGCTGCAGCATTCTTATGATTGGTCATAAGGATGGGTGGATTGCCAAGTGGAGTACAAGGTACTACAGTGGCCATAAGTTTGGATATGAGTCCTAAATCCCATTTTTCAATGCTATCTTAATTTTGAATGGTTGCTGAATGAATAGTCATAAATCAAGGACTGTCAGTAATATAAGACAGTTGTAGATTATTTGAGCATCAATCCTAAATCTGTTTGTAATTCTACCCTTCAAATCTTCGTTCATAATACCTCTGTCTTTCATGTTTCTTTGGCTTACTTACTCACTTCTATCTTTTTGTAATTCCTTTTACTTGTTTTTCCTCTTCTTTTATTCTTTTCCCTGTGTTTACTGCAGGAGAACCAGCGCATGCAGCAGAAAATAGAATCTATATCCAAAGAGGTGTTTGACCTCCAGGAAACAGTTAATTGGAAAGATAAAAAAATTGGGGTATGAGATTATTCTGAGGTGAAAGTGATTAGGACTAGAATGGCAAATGTTGACAAGATTGTTAATGGTTTCAGTATGCAGAGGATCTGAATATAGTAACTACAAATACAGCAATAAATTAGATTAAATAAATTAATGCTGGATACTAGAAAATAAATAAGTGCCATTCAAGATCATATGCTGCATGCATGAATACATTTATGATAAAGCAGAATGATTGATCAGTACTTCCAGTGTTGCAGTTAAGTTTTGTATTTGGATGCTAGTTTATGAGTAAAAATGAAATATAGGTTTGAGAATGGTGGACATGAGCCACCTATTTAGTGACTCTGTAATATACTGTAGGTGCAGTTCTCTCTTCACTCCATAGTTTTTAGGAATCTACTGATTGATGGACTGCTGGGGAAACTATTTAAAAGCTTACCAATTTACTAACCGATTGGCTTCTGAGAAGCAGGTATCCTATAAAAATCTAGCATACAAAGCAGAATCAGGGCCCTGAAGAGAAATAGGAAACTATATGGTTTCCTCTTTTTTTTAATATTCTTCAGTAAAAACTCAATTGACAACATTGTTTCATTTAAATTGAAAATCATAATACCATACATATAATTTTGTAGGCCTGCTATCAAATCCAAATGTTTATATCTGAAAATCTTAGTGCATCACAGAGGATTATATTTTCTTGCTCTAGGTTTTGGATAAAAATTTGAATAATGTGGTTTGGTACAGATTTAATTGCAAAGTAGAATTACACAAATTAATGGTTTTAATTTAGTTGCATTGATTTTAGTAGGTCTGAACTGCCTATGACAAATCCAATTCAGCCCTAATTTATGTGATATATTTCATATTTTATCAATTCCACGTTGAATCCTAGCATCGGGATTTATTTGTGAGAATGATAGGCTTAGTGTGGAAGAAATACTACACCAGAACTGTATTTAAAGTTTATATGTAATATAGTGAACAAGACTAGATACATATTTGACAGATCCATTATAACTGAGGAATTCTTGTACTAAATATGGCAAACACAGGATTTTTTTGTGGCAAACACAGGATTGTGTAAAGCTTTATTTTCTTCTTTTTGTTTAGTACTCTTCTTGTATTTACAAGAAATCTCTCTTATCTATCACACAATCTTTTTTCTATACTATTTTCTTTGTGCTACTTGGCTGTAACCAGGCTCTAGAGAGACAAAAAGAATATTTTGACTGCATTAGAATTGAGCGAGATGAGCTCAGAGATGAGCTGGCTGACCTGAAGGAAACAATGAAGAGAGGAGAGGTATGTTAGCAGTAGTACTTTTTATAAATGTAGATTGGGGAATCAGGCCATAGGTAGTATAATGGAAAGTACAGCATCATTACCACATCATTTTCTCCTTTATACTAACTCATGTATGGAAACAATGGTGTTGTGACTTTTGATTATGTTAGCTAAGTAAATAGCTTATCTGTAAAATAAAATTTTCTGATAAATATTGTTAATGTTGCTTTTCCCCCCCCCAGAAACATGGATTAGTAATAATCCCAGAAGTCACTCCAAATGGTGATATTAACCATAAACCAGTAATTGGTGCAATTACAGTTGTATCACAAGAAGCTGCTCAAGTTTTGGAGTCAGCAGGGGAAGGACCACTAGGTAAATAAGCATTTTCTTAAAAGATTAACATTAAATTGGGGCTTCAGCGCATATAAATTTAAAATTATACCAAAAGAATTGTACTTTTAGACAGATCAGCCTTTTAGTTCTGTGTGATTAATTCCAGCACTCCATAAATCTTTTCAGGCTTACAAAATGTCTATAAACATACAGTAAATTTTTGCTTTTAAATATTTAAATTTAAGTCGCTGTGTATTAGAATACTTCCTGTAGAAAATATTCCAAAAACAAACTGCTGCATTGGGATAGCTGGCTGGAAACTGACAAGACTAATCAGTTTCACATCTTAGATTTTTGTTTGTCTTCTAACCACACCCCTCCTCTTTGGAATTTTCACCTTGGCGCTGGGATAATTAACCAGAAGGGAATTAATATTACATTCATAGGAGAGGATCAGATTACAAAAGAGTAAGCAGGCACTCAATGGGGAATACACTGGGCTGTTTGTGTAGTGTCCTCACATCTGCTGAAATAAGCATATTCTTTCGACTATATTCCCCATTGTGTGTCTGCTTACTCTCTTGTAATCCGTTCTCTCCAACCTCTCCGCTGGGCAATAGATACAATCTATACTGACTACAATGGTGAACACATGACTGACAGATACTGCAAAGGTTATAAATACAGGCATTGGTTGTAAAGTTATTTTTCAGCACTGTTGTGACTTTGAACAGTGCCTGAACAAGTAAGGTAAGTGTGGATTACTATACTAAGAGTTAATTAATCTAACTGCTTAGTTGGGCCCCATGCCTTAAGTTACAATTTTTAAAGTGATTTTGCTGTAATTCAGTGATGGTTTGCTCAAGTCACCCTCCTCAAATTTTATTTGCACTTGCAAGTTAAAGATAATAGCCTTAATTCATTTTTTTTAAAGTTTTGTGTGCTAGTTTTGCTTAAAAAGATCCTACCTGTCTTATTGTGAATTTTAGGTGGAATTCTAACCACATAAACTATTCTTCAAAAGCCTTCCAATTTGTGAAATTAAGCTATTTGTTTGTTTTAGATGTTAGACTACGAAAGCTAGCAGGAGAAAAGGAAGAGCTATTGTCACAGGTAAGTCTCCTGAAGGTTTCTAAAGCAATAATGAGATAAACAACTTCCCATAATGAAGTTGTAATTAAATAACAGAAAATACTGTCGCTTTATGACCTCCAGAGTTAGCTTTGTTTGTTTAGGCCAGTGGTGGCGAACCTATGGCACGGGTGCCAGAGGCGGCACTAAGAGCCCTTTCTGTGGGCATGTGCGCCGTTGCCCCAGTCCTAGGCCTTCAGCTGGGTTTTATAAAACCTTTTCGTTTTAGGCCTCCACTGCCGTGTGCAAAAAAAAAAAAAAGTTCAGTCAATTTCAACTTCTCGCGGGGGGGAAAAAAGATCTTGCAAAGTTGGAATTGATTGATTGAACTTTTTAGTCCCACCCAGTCTGCCGTTACCACCGCAGCCATGCCCACCCAATTGGCCACACCCAGCCAATGGGCCACACCAACCCGGCACTCAACGATGCATGTGGGTTTTGGGTTGCAGTTTGGGCACTCAGTCTCTAAAAGGTTCGCCATCACTGGTTTAGGCTGTAATTCTGTTGCTTCAGCAATAATCCAGGAACCATAGGATTCATGTTTTTTTTCTCTATTCTCTTCTGACTGTTTATTGATTGAGAATGATCCAGGACGGGCTTTATATATGTTGAATTCTAAGCTTATAATGGGAAACTTGTAGGAAAAAGTTAAGCTGGAGATTTATGTGTTTTACAGGTGAAAGATCAGATTGCTGTACATTCTTTAAGTACAGCAATCTGATATTTCATCTGTAAGACAGTTTTCTCCAGCTTAACTTTTTCCTACAAGTTTCCCACTATAAGCTTAGAATTCAACATACATAAAGCCCCTCCTAGATCATTCTCAATCAATAAAGAGTCAAAAGAGAATAGAGAAAAAAAACATGAATCCTATAGTTCCTGGATTATTGCTGAAACAACAGAATTATAGCCTAAACAAACAAAGCTAATTCTGGAGGTAATAAAGCAACTGTATTTTATTATTTAATTAAAACCTCATTACTGGAAATTGTTTAGCCTTTGAATAGTATGCTTAGTGCCACATCCATTTAGTCTTTGAATAGTATGCTTAAAGCATATCCCCAAAAATGGTGGGTATAGGCAGAACAAATGTGCATTTGTAGTGATGTCATATAGACTTTAAGTTTAACTCAGTATAAGAATATGTAGATGTCTACTTCTTAATCATGCATTTATTTATTCTCCTTTTGTTACTAAAAATTGCATTTTGCTAGCAATTTTGGAGGTTGTTAAGGGCCATTGCAAAATCTTTTAAGAGCAACAGGTTGTGAATTTCTGCGGTATATATTAAATATTTCATAATATGTATATGGCAAAACTTTTGTTCCAGTTAAAACCATTCATATAACATGGCAGTTTATTCAGTGCTGATATTCACAACTATTTTTTCTATAATCTTAGCATTTTAAGGGATATAAATATCCATAACTAAATTGCCAATTTGTTGGAATAGCAGCATCCTATTCAGACAAATCTTGTAGATTTATTTAAAGCTGAAAACAATCAACTGGATTCCTGATTATAGCAGTAGATGCTAATTGTTAAATATGATATCCATTCATTTTAGATAAGGAATAAATAAAGTTTGAAGTGAAATACTGAAAATATTGTTTTATTTTAATTTCAGATTAAAAAACTGAAATTGCAATTGGAAGAGGCCCGGCAGAAATCCTCTAGGCATGAAAGCACAAATGCTGATTTAACAGGACTTGAAAATGGTTCTGATTTGCAATTAATTGAAATGCAGAGTATGTTCATTCATTCAGTATTCAAAGAAGATGCACTTTGATGTAGTCATGTCTTGATTTCTATGCAAATTTTCAGTTTGTGTTTTGCAATTTTGTACCAGATGATAAAGCATATTTAATGAAAGTATTGAATATAGTTTTAGATGTATAAGGTACAATTTAAAATGAGGGAATATTAAGGAAAACAGGCAAAGTTTGGTATCAGTTGTGAAATTTATAGTTCTTGTCATAACCAGAGAGAATGAAAACTGCAGAAAGAAAACTTGTTTCTCATTTGAGCTATTTCTTACATTCTCTCCTGACATGGTGAGAAATGTCTTGACGGTTAATTTGTATAATATCTTTTGATCTACCATTCGCAATTTTTAAAACAACTACATTTCCATTGTATATAAGATTAAAATATTATTACCGAAGTCATTCTGTTTTTCATATTCCAATAAAAGTGTTGACTAAACTCCTGAGATCTTAAGCATTCACCTCATAAACTTTCAGGAATAAATATTGAAAAATACCAGTCTCCAGAGTTACCTAATTGCCACATTTAGTGCTCTGTTTTCCTCCACAACAAACATTTGCAATAAGTAAAGGTTTGATTTGAAGTGAATTCGGAAGTTTGGTTTACAATTCTTAAATTCTAAATTTTCTTGTCTCTAGGAGATGCCAACAGACAAATAAGTGATTTCAAATTTAAACTTTCAAAAGCTGAACAAGATATAACTACTTTGGAACAAAATGTAGGTATCTTTTAAGATGTTGATATATTCCAAACTTAAGGGCCATACACCATCCTTCCCCCATTTTTTCCCCTACTTCATCACATAATATGCCTCTTTTACACCACTAGTATGGGAATCCTATCATCTATTATCAGGCCAATGATGTACAGGGTTTGATATTTTCTTAAGAGGACCATTCCTCAAGCAATAAGCACTGTATATAGGAGTTGATGGCCAGGAAAGATATTTGGGCATCTCAAGTTAAAAGAAATGAAAAGAGGACTATGTCTGATGTAGAAACAGTGCACATAAACATTTACATTGGGAAAATCTTCACTTATAATCAGTGATATCAATGCCATGTTTGTATTTCATTTGAATTAATTAGTATTCTGTTGAGTTTCTGGGTATGATTATATCACTTGAATATGTATTGTTGACATATTTGTATTGATTCCTTGGAAGGAACAGTGAAAAGTAAATGCTTTCCATTTAGTGCTTTTAAAGAAAGGTCAAAATTACATTGAATCTTCCTTGCATACGGGAAGATAAACAAATCATTGGTCTTTTAGGTTTTAAGACTTGAAGGACAGGTGGTGAGATATAAAACTGCTGCAGAAAATGCAGAAAAAGTAGAAGATGAACTGAAAGCAGAAAAGAGAAAACTTCAGCGAGAAGTAAGTGTCTCCTTTTTCTTTCAGTGAAAGCAGATTAGTAATAGTATAGTAATTGAGCTGTGAATAATGTATGCTATATTTAAAGGTAGCTTGAGATTATTGTTATTTCAAAGTAATATAAATACTCTGTCCATAGGTTTTTTGCAATTGTAGTGTGAAATTGTGTGTTCATAGGACAGCCAGAAACCAAATCATTCGCAGAATTCAGCATCCAAGATCAGGCTTATTAACATCTAGCAATAAAATAATCCATTTCCAGCAATGCAACTTTCCTCCATCGCCCCCTTGAATCCTCCTATATATGCAAACGGGAATATGAGGTCTCTGGGAGGCAGACACTTCCAGTTTCTGCCCTTAACATCTCATTCATACAGGTAGTTTCAAAATGACAAAATTGATTTTGGCTCAGTTTTGGACCAGTTGGAGGGAAAGTTACGGGTGAAAATAAGAATAGTTTACTTCCCAAAGACTTTATACTCCCATTTTTATCCTTAAAAAAGCAAACAGTATCTACTACTTGGCATTTATCATTGCTTATTCAGGTAATGATACTATATTGTCGTGAGACTTTTCTATAATCCCCTGCTGGTTTGGAAAATGAATCCCTTGTTTTAAAAATTGGAAAGAGTAAAATATATAGGAAGGCAAATATTCATTTTATATTCAGGAGCTACCCAGGCTAGGAAAGGTCTTTTCTCTGGTTGTAAAGATACTTTCCACTTAATTTCCTAAAGGAGTTAGGGGCTGCAATAAGAATCTTAAGTCTATTTTTTTAATAAAAGACCTCATGAAAAATATTAGAAAATCAGAATGTGGAGCTATTTACCAGAACATCAATTTATCCCATGACTGATGATGCAGGGTTTACATAAACTGAGAGCAGGTGCTTTCTGAAAGCATATATCAGATCACATATATGATGAAACCGCCATGCCATTTCAGGAACCAAAATAAAATTATATTATACAATACATAATCAGATATTTAAGATTTCAAGTTTCATCTGTCTAGTCTTCTGAAACATCACATTTTTATTATCATATTTCAAATAAGATACTAGGAAGAAATTATAGAACTTGTATACAAGTAGTCCTCATTTAGTGATCATAATAGGGACCGGCAATTTAATCATTAACTTTGTAACAGCATTTATGATTTCACTTAAGCTTTCCTGTGCTGTACAAAACTGCAAAAGTTATAAATGCAAGGATGGTTGCAAAGTTACTTTTTCATCATTGTCACTAAATGAGGACTACCTGTACTATTGGATGACAGAATGGTCAAAATAATAATTCTATGTCTTATTTCTATTCCATGGAATCCTAAAGGATCTTGTGAATCAAGGATAACAAATGAATTTACCAATTACCAGTGGGATTATTTTTCTTACTCTTTGTTTTAACTTTCTTGTCCTTATGAACATATTCATAGCATGACTTGTCCACTTCCAGCTTAAATGGGCCAACTAAAGCTGGATCCCATATTTCTTTTGAACCCTAGGCTACTTGTATTTAATCTGCACTATCTAAATAAGAATTAATTAACTTACGTTATTTTGATTTAATAGTATTTATTAGACTAGTATCTAGAATGGCATAGCAGGTCTGTGGGTACATCTGGAGGTTTATCATCTCAAATCATTTAAGAGAATTGCCTCATTATTATTCACCAATCTCCTAATCGGTGAGAAGGATTTCTTAGTTGACCTTAAGTCAAAGCTGTTAGAATTATATATCTATGGTCTCAAGTGTGTTAAGAAATCTGGATGGAAGTTTGTAACATCAGTCTATTTATTGGATTCCTCAAGCATGCATTTCTGCGTAATCTTGCCATAGTCCACAGATTCTCCCCAACCTCTTTTCTAACCTCAGCAGCTTCCTTCAAGATTCTGGTACTGTTGAACGCCTGTTTTGGAATGACAGGTTGTGAGTTCTTAACAAATTAAAAGATCTGTTTATTCCATTAACAAATTAAAAGATCTCTTTATTCCACTGTGGTTCTTAGATTAGATACAGATTTATCCCAAATACAAACGAAAAGCAAAAAGTTCAGCATATAGTTCTAATGCCATCTCACTTTTCTGTCTTCTTTGAGAAGTGATGCATACTGGATAATCAGATACACAATATGTAACATGGACTGGAGCATCTGAGATATTACAGTCTCTTTAGCTCCTTTGTTTATTCTCCAAGAGCAAAGTTTCCAATAACACGTGTACCATATTTAAGCAGAAATACATAAACTATATCCTATTCCTTTAGTGAAGCTAAAATCATTGAATTAAATCCTAGAAAGTTTTTCAATCTTAGTATGAAAGCATTCCCATCCTGAAAAGGGTACCTTTGAGGGCATTCACCACAGAATATTAGAAGATTACAGGTAAGCTGAGTAGTACCTGTGCAGGTAATCCTCGACTTACAACAGTTCATTTAGTAAACGTTCAAAGTTACAACAGCACTGAAAAATATGACTTATGAACGTTTTTTAGAGTTACAACCTTTGTAGCATCCCCAGAATCATGTGATCAAAATTCAGATGCTTGGAAATTGATTCATATTTATGACCTTTGCTGTGTCCCAGGGTCATGTGATCCCTTTTTACAACCTTCTGACAAGCAAAGTCAATGGGGAAGCCAGATTCACTTAACAACCAGGTTACTAACTGCAGTCATTTATTTAACAACTGTGGCAAGAAAAGTCATTAAATGGGGCAAAACTCACTTAACAACAGACATTTTGGGCTCAATTGTGCTCATAAGTCGAGGACTACCTGTATTTGGGATATGTTTTGCCCAATCAGTGATTTTATTCCCAAGCTAGCACATTTCTTGAAAACAGAGTAAGAAACATACATTCTTAACTTATTCTTGAATTTCCACTCTCCTTGGTTTAGTCTTAACCTGTCATAGCCAGTCCAAAGCCAGATACTGATAGATGGATCCCGTTAACTAAAATCTCTCGGCTATGGTTAGGATCCATTGAATAATGGTTTGATTAGAAGCATCTTCCAATGTTTTTAGAGAAGACCATATCTCCAGAAAAGAAGGGGAGATGTTTTCTGAACCACACGTAGGCCTTTCTGAAGCTAGCTGACCATCTTCATTTGAGCAGAAAGGGAAAACTTATGAATAGTGAACTTAAGTTTATTCTGAGAAAAAGGATGGGTTTCCTTCTTCATCTATAGATTAACTGGACAGTGGGATTTCTTTGAAGCTATTAAATGTAGTGCTGCTCTATTACCATTAGAGGTCCTCTGAAAAGTTTTTTTTAATATATAAAGTCACTTGAATTGTATATTTAGTCAAAATGATGGCACTGCAAGTCTAGAACTTTTGTAGGAAATGAACTACTTAAATACTTTCTACTGTGGGTTTTGTAGCTTTGTTGCAGTTGCCTTCAATGGATGATAGAGAAATACAATTTTGTTATTCTTGCAGTTTCTCAGTTGCTTCTTACAGGGTTGACAGTGTCCTACTTTTTGTTTCAGTCTCTCAGAAAGTGGCATTGGGGCATTTTTGCTTTGACTTTTGGGGATTACTTTGGGAGACCTAAAGGTGCTTTTCAAAAGGCAACTGGACTTTAGTTTTTCCTTGAAGATGTTTTGCTTCTTATCCAAGAAGCTTCTTCAGAAGCTACTTGGATGAGAACTGAAATCTCTTCAAGGAAAAACAAAGTCCAGTTGCCTTTTGAAAAGCACCTTAGGGATAACCATGACCTGGATGACTCCATATACTTGGGAGATGTTAGGAGGCTAATTCCTATGTACTACATTAGCATCTGAAAGAATGGGAAAGTAACAAACATAAGACTTAATTTCCATAGTTTGACATGAGACAAAAGTGAGTGATATTTTTCCCCAAGAAGCAGGTTGGACATCTCAAAAGCCTTTGAATATCTCCAAATGCATGAGGTATCATTGGTTTTGGGCATGATTTGCTGCCAATTCTAGGGATTGGAATTTGGATTTGGTGATACTTTATCTAAAGAGTAAGTTTCCATCCTGGAGCTCATCCTGGATTTGGCATGGGCAGTTGAGTAGCCTTCATGATAAGTGGAATTTTTAACCAGTGTTGGCAAATAAGAGAGCTTCTATTGATAACAAATGTGACAATTTCAAGATTAGACTACTGCAATTTAGTTCTTCATGTGTGGCTCTTTTGAAACTACAGCTGGCTCAGAATGAAGTGGAATAGTGAATGAAAACAGGTGGCTTGTGTGTATTGCCAAAAAGCGTACCCATATGCCTCTCCTTCTAAGTGATTTCTTTACCTTTGGGTTTGATAGTGGACATTAAAATAGTGTAAAGAAAAGCAATTGAGTTATGGCTTACATGAAAATTTCAGTATTTGTCTGTTTCATAATTTAGCTGCTGCATAAGTTTATCTTTTGTCACCCAGTTTAGTTGTAGTTTAACCTGATGCTGCTAAACGTAGGGCTAAAATGCTTTCAAACCTTTTTTGTAAGCAAAGAGTGTTTTAGATTTGCTAAATTACTTGGGGACTTTAGTTTAATAAAAAAGCTGCAACAAAATATTTTGTTGTTTTATGATATATTTAGATGGTACATTGGTTTTCTCAAGTTAACAGTTTTGTCTCTTTTTTTTTTTAGTTAAGAACAGCATTGGATAGGACAGACGAAATGGAGATGACCAACAGTCACTTAGTGAAACGGTTAGAGAAAATGAAGGCAAATCGAACTGCATTGCTATCTCAACAATAGAAAGGAAACTAAAGAATGCACTGCTCCTGGAAATGCCTGAGCTTATTTTATATACGTACAGGCTTTCCTTGGCATAAATTTTAAAACAAAGCTGTTCAGTGAGTTTTAGTTTCATAATATTTTAACTTGAGCAAATGGGAAAAACAGCTTACATATTTATGCAAGTGATGAGTTCTAGCCGCTTAATTCAGGAATCTGATGGAGCCCAATTCCCTATAGTTGACTTATTTTATATAAACTATTTTCACACTTGTGAAATCAAGTTTATTCTCTGAGTTATTTTCAACTGCTTTAATTAATGCTTGGTGCTTGGAAAGAGATGCACGAATTCAAGAGTATTTGCTGCACAACAAACTAACCAATTATGTGCTTGAGATCATCACACGGCACAAGTGCCTTTTAATACAGTGCAATGAGAACTTCAGAGATTAGAACAAAATATAATGTGGAATCAAATACCATTTATTTTAAAACACAATTGGAGTCTTGTTTGCTAAACTTTTTACATTTTGATGGAAAACACTTTTGTAAAATATTTAAATTTATATAAAATAGAAATGACTTGTATAAAATCTGCTTTATTGCATGGTGATGCACACTTGAGATTTCAATTTTAAACAGTACTATCCCTATTTTTAATGTAAGAATAGTGAGCAAGATTTGTTATCGTACAGTGTGTAAAACCTGATGTGTATGCTGCTTAAGTGTGGAGTGAAATGTGGGTGGGAGAAATGTGGCGGATATAAAATTATTAAATGGACACTTTGCATAGCATGGGTGTGTCTTGTCTTAATGTTCTCTGGCATTTTCATTGTTGAGCTTTTCATTGTGCTAATTCTGAAAATTTTGATCCTCCCACGCAACTCAAAACATTACAGACTGAAAATGTTTGTTATTTATTTTGAATGATAAACTTGACAGGATATAATTAAGTAAAAACTATGTCAGCAGGAACTGTTTATAATCACTATGATATTACTAATAGAAAATTGCTAATTTCTATTACAAGTGGTCCTCAACTTACAACAGTTTGTTTAGTGACCATTCAAAGTTATAATGGCACTAAAAAAAGTGACTTATGACCATTTTTCTTATGAGCATTGCAGCATCCCCATGGTCACATGATCAGAATTAAGATGCTTGGCAACTGACTTGTATTTATGATGGTTGCAGTGTCCCAGCATCATGTGATCACCTTTTGCAATCTTTGGACAAGCAAAGTCAATGGGTAAGCTAGATTCACTTAACAGCCATGTTACTAACTTAACTGCAGTGATTCACTTAACAACTGTGGCAAGAAAGGTCATTAAATGGGGCAAAATTCACTTAAAAACTGTCTTGCTTAGCAGCAAAAACTTTGCTTTCAATTATGGTCATAAGTCGAGGACTACCTATATCTCTATATAAAATTTGAGTGATCCTTTACATTCAAGAATGCTCTAATCATCTATTCCCAAATATCTGCCAGCAAAAATACTAAAACAGCATCAAGTAGAAAAATAATTGTGATCTTCCATATTTGCCCAATATACACCTTCATCAGTTGTATCAGTTAGGAGTTTAATTAAGTTTTCTTTATTTGCTCACTGTACAATATGTGGATATTGTGAAATGTTGAACAATAGTTGATTAATTTTCTAACCATTCAATAGTCATTTTTACGCAAAAGTTAAAATACAGTACTATTTAATGATTGATTAAAGTTATAATGATGAGAAAGAAAATAGATTAAATAGTCCTAGAATAAATATTTGTATTTAGCATCGCTCAAAAACTTTGTACAAGTCAAGTAGATTAGCAAGTTGCAAAATATTGCCATCTTCTCTAAAATTTGTAGGAGGTAAAAGGTATGACCGAAAAGCTTTGTAGAGTATATGTTCCACTGTCCATTTCCATGATCTCATACTTTTTCCAGGCTCTTCAACCTGTAAGAGCAGTGTTAACAATACCTCAGAGTTCATAGTAAAGTTTAAAACATATGCATTAATGAATAACAATATAATATGTCTTTTTAAATTCCTAGTTGATAATTCAATTTGTAAAAGTCATTATACTAATGCAGCAATAATCAGAGATATGCCTGTGTCTAACAGTTAATTTGTTCAATCTCTCAATTTTCAAATCATTTATCATTTTTGCAATGATTATAAATTATAAATTAATTACAAAAATCCATGCAAAAATGAACATTTTGCAAGTTTCCCCTGTCAAGTGTTACCTATACTGTGATACAAATGAATGACAAATACAAACATTCAAGGATAGTTTTTTTTTACTTTATGTAACAGTTTGAGCAAAGTGGATAGACTGAATAAAATGCAAAGAGAACAAAATTCCCATAAGATCTAACAATTAGTTGCTTTAGTACTGTAGTCCCCAACCTTTTCAGCACCAGGGACCGGTTCCATGGAGAGAGGTTTTTTGGTGGACTGGGGGAAGGATGTGGTTTCGTGTACTGCCTTGCATTCTGTATGTGCACAGATGGGGCTTTGCTTGTTTGAATAGCCTGGTTTCTGGTGTGCCACAGACTGGTGGTAGTCCAGGGACCCCTACTTTAATATATGAGTAGTTCTCAACTTGCAACATTTAGTGACTGTTCAAAGTTACAAGAGCACTGAAAAAAGCAACTTATTGCCATTTTTGCCACTTAACAGATGTGGCAAGGTGGTAAAATGGAGCAACTCATTTAGCAACAGAAATTTTGAGGTCAATTGTAAGTCAAGGACTACCTATACTTGAATTCATCTGCAACATGGAAGTGGTAGACATCCTACAATAAAACATTTAGCATCCATAAAAATTAAGAAGCTATATGTTCATTCTTTTTCATAGCAAATACGCATAATAAATCTTGTTATCCAAGGCCAAGAAATGAAAGATCAAATTATAAACACCTACTGAATGATATCGGATAAATTTAATTGCTTGCATTTCAGCAACAGCCAGTATCCATATACTCCTAAAATGTTTGTTGCCATGACCCTTAACTGGCTAAATAGTGTATCATAGGGCAACAGTTTTTTAGTTTCTCACTGCAAGCTTCACAAGTAAATGGGGAAGCCAGCAGGAATTTGAGGGAGGGAAGAAGAAAGGGAAGGAAAAGGGGGAGGGGAGAACCAAGCAAGCAAACAAGGAAGAGGGAAGAATGGAAAATTTCTTTATTGACTTCCCAAAATAAAGCTCAATGGAGAAACTGGCAGGAAATTGGAAGTTGCTCCCACTCCCACTGCTTTTTTTGCCCACCCATGGTTATTCTGTTTCTCTTGTTTAGATAACACAAGAGGAAACACCTCTGAATCAATGATCTAACTGGGTTGTCTAGTGAGGTTCTAAGCATAAACTTTAGCCATATCATACATAGGTGGCCCTCAATTCCCAAATAGCAACCATTCTGTGTTACAAGGGCAATGAAAAAGTAGGTTTAAGATGGCCATTACAGCATTTCTATGGTTACATGATCACAATTTGGGCACTTCACTACTGGCATACACAACTCATGTCTCATGGCCACATGATCATCATTTATAACCTTCATAGCTGGTTTCTGACCAGCAAAGTCAAGGAGGAAACTGGCAGGAAATGTGCTGTCCACACTGACTGCAGCAGAATCAATATAAATCCAGTGCAGTTACAAGATGCTTCATTTAATAACGCCACTTAGCAATAGATTTATCAATTCCAATTTTAGTTGGTGAGGACTACCTCTAACCAAACCTCTAGTAAAAAAAACTCATTAGCAAAAATATACCCAATACTTATTGTCAAGTATTCATTTCATTTCTTAAAAGTTTCTACCCAGGAAGCAGCAAATGAAGGTAGGGAAAATCACATCGAATACCTGTTTAGTTAGCACAGGAGTTTCCCCCCCCCCCCAGGGCTGTGTGCTCTTTCCATTACTCTTCTCTATATATACCAGTGACTGCATCTCAACGGATCCCTCTGTTAAAGTACTGAAATTTGCAGATGATACAACAATCATTGGTCTCATTCGAGACAATGAGTCTGCATATAGACAAGAGGTAGATCAACTGGCCCCATGGTGCAACTGGAACAATCTAGAGCTGAACACTCTTAAAACTGTAGAGATGATAGTAGATTTTAGAAGCTCTCCTATTCTACTTCCTCTTACAATATCAGGCAACACAGTATCAACAGTAGAGATCTTCAGGTTTCTGGGTTCTATAATCTCCTAGGACTTGAAATGGACAGCTAACATTGGAACCATCATTAAAAAGGCAAAACAAAGAATGTTCTACCTGCATCAACTCAGAAAGCTCAGATTGCCCAGGGAACTGCTGATACAGTTCTACAGAGGAATTACTGAGTCTGTCATTTGTATCTCAATAACGGGTTTAGGGCGTTTAGGCAAGGACCTTTGGCTGCACTTCCTTCACCCCCTGCCACCCGCCTCAACCCATTTACAGCCAGCTTTCCTCCTCTGCTGGCCCTCCCCCAGCCATTCTCCACAGTCAGTGGGCCCCTGGCCCTCTGCTTTAGGCCTGGCCCATTCACCCAGATACTGTTTGACCCAAGTGTTTGGCTGCATGGGACAAATAGCCCCCAGCCAATCAGGTGGCAGGCAGAAGTAACGGTGCAGCGGGGGCAGTGGAATTGGCAATGGGCAATCGTAGGGACTGTGCGGGGGCAGTGTGAGATGCTCCGCAAGTTTTGGGGCCTTGCAGATCTGTGACCAGGACCAGAGGAAGGGGGAGTGGTGGCAGTAGTAGCCGCCACTGGGGGGAGCAGACAGGGAGGGAAGGAGAGGTGCCTCAAGGGGCTTGACAAAGACAGTTTGGCTTGCCATTCAAACGAGGAAGGAGGAACAAAGCCAGCGCGGTTTCTGGCGTTGGGGAGCATGAGGGTGCATGCAGGCAAGCAGCAAGACCGGCATGGCTTCTGCAATTGTGAGGGGGTGCACAGGCGAGCAGCAAGGTTGGTGTGGCTTCTGCAATTGGGGGGCATGCACAGCAAATGGCAAGGCCATTAGAGAGCATACAGGTAGTCCACAACTTACAACAGTTCATTTAGTGAGTGTTCAAAGTTGCAACAGCACTGAAAAAAGTGACGTATGGCCATTTTTCACAGTTATGATCATTACAGCATCCCCATGGTCATATGATTCCATGATTCACTTAACAACTGCATTCACTTAACAAATGTGGCAAGAAAAGTCATAAAATGGGGCAAAACTCAACAAATTTCTCACTTAGCAATATAACTTTTGGACTCAATTGTGGTCGTAAGTTGGGGAATATCTGTACTTGCAAACTATCCTTTTCTATATACATCAATCCATATATTATTTTTGTTCTTTAAAATTCTAACATCTCTTTGAGGATGTCATCAACTATATCCAACAGCAACTTTCTCAACCTTCTTCCTCTCAAATCACTATTTTTTTTTTGTATCCTGCCTTTATTATTTTCCCCCAACAATCCTCCAAAGTGAATTGGACTGAGAGTGAGTGACTGGCCCAAGGTCCCCCAGCTAGTGTTCAATATTAAGGTGGGAATAAAACTCAGTCTTTCCATTTCTATCCTGGTGCCTTAATCACTAGACCAAATTACTCATACACTCTTCGTTTAGGTACAGAGTGCAGGTTACCTTAAAGGCACATTTAATATTGGAACTCCTCAATATATTGATAGGGCTACCTTTGAGACATCTTTGCAAGGACGTAACTGTATGGATGCAGTTCAAGCTAGGGAACTCATTTTCTCAGTCAATTGTCTCAGGTTTGGGGGGGTTGTTTTTTTTATTTGGTCATGCTACAAATCCAATGAACATGAAAACAGTCACCAGCCACTTACAGATGTGAGTCATTTGGATATAAGATGGCTCCACAAAGAAAATCAAGGAAGAATGCGATTGAAGGGGCTGCCATTAGAGGCATCCTGATTGTTCCTCTGGGCAGAGAAAACTTGACACAGAATTTGGCTGTATCCTAATTAAATAAACAATTTGTCTAGACTTAGACTGAACATCCAGAGATGTTTCAGAAAACCACGAATCAGTGGGGAAGCATCTCTAGTTCA